TTTATCAACTGGACCATGTCTCTTATTTATTGGGCTCAAAATTAATAGGATCAACCCATTTTTTAAAGACTTAATTTATAATTAAATTAATTGGACATTTAAGTGACCCAAATCAATTTAATCATTGAATTACATCCGAATGAACCCATATTAATATTTTCCTTTTGATTAGGCCCAGAGATCGTTACGAGCAGTCCAACAGTATTTGACGTTGGCCCAATAGCCTTCAAAAGAGACCTAATAAGACATATAATAGTCCGATAGCACTTGAATGCGTTTAATAATACTACGTATTAAGGACCATCATAAATAATAAGTCCAAAATATTGAATAATTTTCAATATCCACAGTTGCAACTAATCCAAAAAAAGTTTTCAATTCATAAATAAAGTTATATTTATTTCTTGGTTTTTCTTAATAAAAGTAGTATTTTAGATGTTGCGGTCAAATTGAACACTCGTGCACATGGCAGAGTGATCTAGGGTTGTGGCGGTCCAACTTAACACTCACAAGATGGACGAGTACACTCATTGTATAGGTTAGTGACCCGGGATGGTGGCAGTCCCTCTTTAACCCTTATGGGTATGAGAGGGTGACTTAGGGCCGAGTTAGATCCAATTAGCACTCAATAGATACGAATATAAGGAAAAAGTATCTATAACACGGACAGCTTGCGGGCTAGATATTCAAGTAATTGTTAAGAAAACATGGTGAAGTTCGAGGACTACATCCTTCCTTGATTTGATAAAGCAAATGACCTCCGGGTCTTATTTTACAAATATATATACTATAAGTATTATCTTGTGGTTGGGGCAATACAACATTTTGGATCTATTACTACGCCGAGAAATTGTTGTGCAATAAGAAAAAACCGTTGCCATTGTCTTTAGCAACACTTTCAAAACTGTGCCAATGTATGGCGTTGCCTATACATTAGGGAACGGTTTTGATACTTAAACGCAACACAATGTGAAAATCGTACTCAAATAGTATAGTATAGAGAACAGTTTTTTATCAATAGTAACAACAAGGAACTGTTGCCAAAGAGATTACACCTATTTTCTTCAATAGTTTATGAAATTCTACTGTTGCTGCTGCCGCCGCCGCAGCCGCCGAATCAAACCCTACCAAACTGAACTAAACTAAAATTGAATCATATGCAATTTGGTTTAAATTTAATAATACATAGTATTTCTACATAACCATATTTAATTGAATTGAACCGAGAAAAACCAAATAAAACTAAACCGAAGTAAAAATATTCAAAAACCCTTTATGTATTCTTAAAAATGACAAATCCAAATCGAAATAAAATCAAAATAAAAATGACAAATTAGAACATAGTATTGTATGATTTTGTTTGATAATTATTCTTCTAAACTGTTTGAAAGTGAATTGAACTGAAACCATAAAAACTAAACAAAAACTAAACGGAAACCAATATGCCCACGTTTAGTCAGAAGAGTGAAACTGTGAAATAAGAGACACCCATCACCAATTTGAACCCGAATACATGCAACATACTCCGTATTCATTTGAACACTTTGTTTGCCTCGTCCTCAGTCCCAATGTAGTGTTTGTAACCATATTCCCTAATTTTCATTATAAAACCACGTATATAATATGTATTTCATATTTTCATTTTATCAGCTTTATGGGTAATCTTTTTGATAAGTATGGATTATATTATATAATCTTTTTAATAAGTATTGATTATATTATACTATGTATGATTTTGATTTTGCACGCTGGATTGTTTTATAAGTAAAATGTTGGGTAAATGGCCCCGAGCAGGGGTCCGGCCCAATTACCCCCAAACCGACGTACGTCGCCCAGCCCACGGATGGCCCTGGTCTGAAGGAATGAGGACGAATGTCTATCTCCGGAATAACAGCTCAAGGTCCCGGCCGAGGGTCGGTTAGCACATCCGTGACGAACGTCGTCAGCCGAGGCCCATCTCCGTAGATGGCCCAGGCCCAAAAGATTGTTACGTTCCCAGGAAGGGCCGCAGACGAACGGCCCCCGGTTCTACCCGACGATCGTGGTCATCAATTAGGCGGGGAACTCAGATTCTGGCGGGAAGCGCATTTAATGCTGGAGATTTGGTGGTTGGGCCATAGCCACTAACAATCCTCCACATCATCAGGACTAACTGCCCATTGGCGGGTATAAATAGTAGCATTTATTTCATTGAAAAGGGTTGGCAACTTTCTATTCTTAGGATATTAGCTTCAGCATTCTTACTTGCAGCCTTTCTAAGTGCCTTGTAAGACGAACGGCCGACGTGCCTTATTAGCAAGTAGATTGTATTTAGGGGAGTTATTACGAAGTTAATAATACCTATTTACATTGCCTGCTACTACTTTTGTTTTCCTGATCCATCTGACAATTGTTGGGCTAGATATCCACACACTCACTCCATTCGAAATCTTTGGGCTTACGTGTTGGGTCCAAGGGTTGAAGGAATAAACCTCAACACTGGCGCCGTCTGTGGGAACTGAGCAAAAGGTTTCCAAAAACTCTCCCAAACAGCTACTAAGTCTACCTACAGCAAACACGATGTCAGGAAGCAACAACCAGCGTGATCTCTCCGAGCGTCTGGAATCAAGCCGCCGGAATCGCGGCCAGAACTCGGAACTATCCGCAACAATATGGACCTCCGGGGGAGACGGGGGTATCACTGACCTCATTCCTCTGGAGGCCAGGCAGGATCCTCGCCTCATGCGGGAACTCGCAGACACCATGCGTCGCTTGGCAGACGAGCGGGAGGCCCGAGACCAGGTGTACTCTGCAAGTACCCAGCGAACGCCCCTCTCTCCCATACGCCGCATGCAGTCGTATGACGATACGACAGGATCCAGCGACCACCGGCCCTCAGTCCACGAGCGGCTAGGTGGGGGTTCAGGCTCCCGTGGAACGGGAGGGCGAACCAGAGTCAGCATCGCTGCATCCAGGGCTCACACGCCATCAGTCCCCCGCCAAATCCCGCGGGGAGACGAGACCCCGAGGATCAACACCGTTGGACGACGTTTCCAACGGCGAGGTGCGCAGATCTTTAGGCGGCCGCTCGATGCTGTGGCCGCTCAGCAGAATGCCGTCCCCGAAGCCGCGCCCCCTGTGTCCCCCGGAAGGGCCGCGCAGGATGCAAGGTTGGAGGCCATGGAGAGGCAGATAGCCGAGATGAATAGGCGGGGCGGACGTTGGCTCGGCCACACCCTCTTTCTCTCTCACATCTCCCTTTACTCCACGGGTGATGAGCGTCGAGATTCCCCGAGACTGCAGGCCCCCGGGCAACTTGGTGTACAATGGGGCTGGCGATCCCAAGGCCCATCTGATAAGCTACCAAGGGAACCTGTCCATGCTGGGAGCATCAGACGAGGCCATCTGCAGATTGTTCTTCAGCACCCTCAGGGGGCCGGCGCAAGAATGGTTCGGCCAGTTGAGGCCAGGCACCATCGACTCATACGAACAGCTCTCCCAGCAGTTCATGGCGCAGTTTGCTGCCAGCACCACCCCCAGGAAGGACGTCACGGCTCTCGCCCACATCAAACAAGGGCGGGACGAACCGCTGGCTAGGTTCCTGGTAAGGTGGAGGGACGAGGTCCTGCAGGTCGACGATCTGGACGAACGTCTGGCCACCAACATGTTCACCAGTGCGCTGGCCACAGGGGATCTATACCGGGACCTAAGGAGGAATCCCGGCACCAGCTACACCGAGGTTCTTGCTCGGGCCCAGAAGTATGCCTCCGTTGAGGAGGAGATCAGGCAGCGGGACGGAGTTCCCGCGGCCCACCCACGGAAGATGGCGGACAGACTCGGGCCCGGGCCGGGACCCGGGCCCTCCCCCCCAAACAAAAAGAAGAGGACGGACGGGGCGATGGTCCCTTGGAAGGCTCCGTCCGGGGATACTCAAGCACGGCCGGACGACCGCTATGTCCCATTGGCCTATCCAGTGAGCCAAATCTTTGAGGCCATCAAGGACAAGGGCCTCCTAACGGAACCCCAGGATATGAGTAAGCATATGGGGCACGACCAATCGGCCTACTGTGAATACCATCAGAGGACCGGCCACCTGACGGATAATTGCAGCCAATTAAAGAAAGCGATCGACGAGCTGATCCGTCAGGGGTACCTGGGCGAGTTCACCCAGCTGCTGAACAAAAACAGCCAGCAGAAGCCGAACTCAAGGCACAAGACATGGCGCCGCGACGATCGGCGCGAGGCAGAACCTCAGGACGTGGATTATCGAAGTGCAGATAAACGTCCGGAGGGATCCCTCGGCCCGAAGGGCAAGAAGAAGAAATTGGAGATCAAGGTGATCTTCGGGGGCGCTGAGACAGGGGATACACCCGCCGAGCGGAAAAAATTTGAGAGGTCACTCTATGTGGGTTCCGTATCAGCACCCCCCACCAAGCGCAATAGAGTCGAGGCAATTACCTTCGGCCCCGCTGACCTGCCAATGTCACCGGCGCCGCACAGAGACGAGCTGGTGATCAGCATGGACGTGAACGATGCTATCGTCCGTCGCGTCCTCGTTGATACCGGGAGCAGTGTGAACGTCCTCTACTGGGAGGCTTTCGAGGGAATGAAGCTCAGGAAGGACATGCTGCACCCTCTGCGCACCCCGCTGTCCGGCTTCACCGGGGATTGCATTGACGCTGAGGGCACCATCATCTTGCCAGTGGAGATCGGCGATGGCCCCCACACCGCCCGGATCGGAATGACGTTCGTCGTGGTCCGCCTGAAGTGCGCCCACAACGCCATTTTGGGCCGACCCGGCTTGGAAGACTTGGGGGCCATATGCTCCGTACGACATTCATGCATCAAATTCCCCACCGACACTGGAGTGGGGGTGGCACGTACGGACCCACATATGGCCAGGGCCTGCTACACGAAGGCCATGGAGAAGCTCAACGAGCGGGAGGCTCGGGTCAACAGCATCTCCGAAAAGGCCAAACAGGCCGACTTGGACGCTCATCTGGAACCAGCAACTCTGCTGGAGGAAATTGAACTCGACAATCCGACGGACAGGAAGGTGTCCATTGGTGCGGATCTAGAGCCGGAAATCAGGGCAGGGGTCATAGCCATCCTCCGGAGGTTCAGGATCTTGTTCGCCAGAGGGCCGGGGGACATGCCGGGCATCGACCCCAACCTCATATGCCATAAACTCGCCGTGCGGCCGGATGCCAAGCCTATACAACAGAAGAAGAGATATATGGCGGCCGACCGACGCGATTTCATCAGGAAGGAAACAGCAACTCTCCTCAGCATCAAACATATCCGGCCAGTCATCCACGTGGAGTGGTTGGCCAACGTGGTTCTAGCCCCGAAGGGCGACACTTGGCGGATGTGCGTCGATTACTCGGACCTCAACAAAGCTTGTCCGATGGACCCTTACCCTGTCCCGAGGATCGACCTGCTGGTGGATGAGACAGCAGGCTGCGAGCTGCTCAGCTTCATGGACGCATTCAGGGGCTACCATCAGGTGTTCATGCACCCCGATGATGCCGAAAAAACGGCGTTCGTTACGGCGGACGGCGTGTACTGCTACATCGTCATGCCTTTCGGCCTGAGGAACGCCATGGCTACTTTTCAGAGGATGATTGGGATGTTGTTCAAGGACGTACTTGGAAAGACAATGGAAGCTTACGTGGATGACATCCTGATCAAAAGCAAGAAAAAGGAGGACCACGTCCAGGACATGGAGAGGGTCTTCAGCATCATGGAGAAGGCCAGCATGAGGCTCAATCCGAAGAAGTGCGCCTTCGCCGTCAGGGGCGGCAAGTTCCTCGGCTACATGATGAGCGAGCGGGGGATCGAGCCTAACCCGGAGAAGGTGAAGGCGATTATGGACATGGAGGCCCCAAAGAACCTAAAAGACGTGCAGCGGCTCACCGGGCGTCTGGCGGCCCTGAGCAGATTCTTATCCAAGTTGGCTGATAAGGCGATCCCCTTTTTTCAGATCATGAAGAAGGCCAATCCCTTTCAATGGACCCCGGAGTGCCAAACTGCTTTCGAGGATTTCAAGGTATATCTCTCCTCTCCGCTCGTCCTCACCAAGGCAGACCCCGGGGAGAGATTATACATGTACTTGGCAGTAGCCGATCTGGCCGTAAGTGCCGCGCTGCTGAAGGAATCTGAAGGCGTTCAGCGGCCAATATACTTTGTAAGTAAGGCGCTGAACGGTCCCGAGACGAGGTACACACTGATGGAAAAGACGATCCTCGCCTTGATTGCATCCATCAAGCGCCTGGCACCGTATTTCCAAGCACACCCAGTGACTATCTACACGACGCAGCCCCTCGCCACAGTCCTCAGGAACCCAATGGCAAGCGGAAGGATAACGAAGTGGTCCTTGATGATCGGCCAGTATGACGTGGACTTCAAGCCGAGGCCGACGATCAAAGGGCAGGCTCTGGCGGACTTCATTGCGGAATGCACCGCGCGCACCGAGGACGGAGCCCATGACAACAATGGTTTTGACGATTGGTGGGAGATGTACACCGATGGGGCCTCGAGTGCGCGGGGCTGCGGCGGAGGAGCAGTGATCACTTCCCCCGAAGGTTTCAAAGCCTACTACTCTATGAAGTTTGAGTTCAAGGTCACCAACAACGAGGCTGAGTACGAGGCGCTTATCGCAGGGCTGAAATGCGCGAAAGCCCTCGGAGCAGCTCGTCTGAAGGTGAGAATGGACAGCCAGCTGGTGGTAACCCAGATGAACGGCACTGCAGAAACCAGGGAAGAGAGAATGAAGGTCTACAAGGAGCTGGCGGAGGAACAGACCGCACAATTTGAGCAGGTGGTGCTTGAGCAGGTATCGCGGGTGGAGAATACAGAGGCGGACATTCTGTCAAAACTAAGCAACCCCCCGAGCGATGACCCGGCATCAAGCATCCCCCGACACATCAGAGGCTTCGTTAGGCAGGAAGTATTCCCAGCACCAGCGACGGACGTCATCCAGATGGAGGTTATCTCCGTTGCCGAACCTAACTGGGCAAAGGAAATAGCAGATTATCTCAGAGATGGGACACTCCCTGAGCCTGAAGATGATGGCAGTACAGGAAGAGCCGCGTGGATAAAGAGGCGTGCCCCTAACTTTGAACTCATTGATGGGCAACTTTACAAGAAGACGTTCGGCGGACCCTACCTCAGGTGCCTCCCGCCGAGCCTGGCAGCGGCGGTAATCGAGGAAATACATGAAGGGATCTGCTCCAGCCACCAGGGCCCCCGAACCTTGGCCAGAAAAATCATCCTGCAGGGCTATTACTGGCCGACCATACAGCAAGATTGCTTCAACCACACGCGGAAGTGCGCAGTATGCCAGCAGTATGCACCTGTCCCTGGCCGACCGGCGAGTTTCTACACCCCGATGACCATCGCGCTACCATTTGCTAGGTGGGGCGTAGACCTGCTGGGTCCTCTGCCAACGGCTGCTGGTGGAAGGAAGTTCGTCATTGTGGCGGTTGATTATTTCACGAAGTGGGTCGAGGCCGAACCATTGGCCTCCATCACTGAATTCCAGTGCCAGAAGTTCGTCTGGCAGAACATCATTTGCCGCTTCGGAATCCCGGAGCAGATCATCACAGACAACGGTCGGCAGTTCGTCGGCAGAGGCTTTGAGGCATACTTGGCGAAGTGGGGCATCAGGCACTCTAAGGCCTCGGTGGCCTACCCGCAAGCCAACGGCCAAGTGGAGAACATGAACCGGACCATCATGGACGGGATCAAGAAGAAGTTGGAAGACTACACCTCCACCTGGCCGGAGCAGCTGAATTATGTTTTATGGACGTACAGGACGACGCCCAGGACGGCGACTGGGGAAACCCCTTTTGCCTTGGCTTACGGGTTCCAAGCTAAGGTACCAACGGAGGTACTGGTACCTACCCATCGCACCAAGCACTTCCAGCCGGAGGACAACGAAATCAACCTACGAGCAGAGCTCCATTTCGTCGAGGAACGGAGGGACTTAGCGGCTCGTCGCATGGAAGAGTATCACAGGGCCACCCAGAGATACTTCAACAAGGCCGTGAAATTCCGCGAAATAGAGGCCGGGGACCTCGTACTCAGGAAAAGAGAGAAGAGCAAGCCGCTCGAAGGCGGCAAAATGGCGAAGAGCTGGGAAGGACCTTACCGGGTCATCAGAAGATATAACCAGGGGACGTTCCTCCTCCACACCCTGGAGGGGAACCGCGCCGGGATGTGGAACGTAGAACACTTGAAGAAATTCTATCAATAGTTAGGGGCTGTTGTCCTTGTATTATTCCCACTACATGTAAAATGGCCGGACGTCGTCAATAATAAGGCCCCTGTTTTCATCAATTCCGTTCTTGCCAACGACCGTTAAAGAAGGGAATCTCGATGTAGATAAACCTGTTCCTCCTTGTGATGTCGGCGGACACCGGACGTCTCCTCGAAGTAGGGACGCCGGTGGGACCAGGGACTAAGGACGAACGAAGCACCAGGGAATCTCGATGTAGATAAACCTGTTCCTCCTTGCGATGTCGGCGGACGCCGGACGTCTCCTCGAAGTAGGGACGCCGGTGGGACCAGGGACCAAGGACGAACGAAGCACCAGGGAATCTCGATGTAGATAAACCTGTTCCTCCTTGTGATGTCGGCGGACACCGGACGTCTCCTCGAAGTAGGGACGCCGGTGGGACCAGGGACCAAGGACGAACGAAGAGTATGGATTGCCTCCACCAAAAAAAAAAAAAAAAAAAAATGGGGAGAAGAGGGGAGGAGCTCCTATGAAGAAGGGAATCTTGCCCGGGTGTGCCAGATCTTCTCCAACCGCCGAAGACGAACGCCTCTCGGTGTAGAGGTTAGTAGAGACGCGGAGGGGGCTAGACGAACCAAGGGAGCCTGCCAAGATAAACCTGTTTATCCCACAAACGACCATGGATCGATGGACGTGGGGTAACAAAGCCGGGGACCCGTGAGGGTAGACCTGTTCGTCCCTGCGAGTCCTTGGGTACCGAACGTCCTCTTCGAAGCAAGAAACGTCGGTAAGGCCAAAAGGACCACGGACGAACGAAGCACCAGGGAATCTCGATGTAGATAAACCTGTTCCTCCTTGCGATGTCGGCGGACACCGGGCGTCTCCTCGAAGTAGGGACGCCGGTGGGACCAGGGACCAAGGACGAACGAAGACTAAAAGACTCCAAAAAAAAAAAAAAAAAAAAAAATGCCTGAAGAGCAAGGAGCAAAGAATGATTCTTTTTTATTCTTCGGCACTATTGGCCGGGAAATTACAAGACAATGAAAATAATGGGAAAAATTGTACAAGTACAAGGTCATGAACAGAGAATCACTTTCGATCGACGTCCGGAGCTGGAACTTTGGAAAGAGCCTGCTTACATTCTTCACTAGCTCTGGCTTCCGCCTGCTCCTTCAGCAGCTCGAGGGCCCCCGCATGAGCGTCCGCCATCAGAACATCAAAGCCAGCCGCCTCCGGATCGAAAGGAGCCCCGAAATGACGCTCGAACGTGGGGAGATTCTCCGCTACGAGCCCAACCATGCCCTTGCGATAAGTATCATCGGCAAGATCATCAAGGAAACGCCGTCCGGTGGGGGTGGCCTGGAGCAATTTGACCCCATCCAGATAGGCATCCGGGCAGGTGGCTAGAAATTCTCCGACGAGCCTCGGGAGAAACTTCATGGCCATGGTGTGAATGGCACCAGTGTAAGCTTTGGATTTCTGGAATGCAATGGAACCAGACTCCTTGATTTTGGCAACATCGGCCTCATAAATAGGGACATGGTTGTCCATGCCCGTCCGGCGAAGCTCCACCTTGGCCTGCTCTACGGCCCACATCCGGCTGCGGAGATCCACGAGCTCGGCCTCCTGCTTCTTGAGAAGCTCCTTCTGAGAGGCATTCTCCTGAACGAGCTTATCGTAGGCCTCGGCTTTCTCTTGAAGGGTGCCAGCCCTGCCTTTTGCATTCCTCAGAAGGGCATCACATTCAGCCCGTACTCTAGCCATCTCCCTGCCCTGGCGCTCGAAGGCCATCCGAGCCCTGTGGAAGTAGAGCCCGGCCTTATCCAGCGTGCTCTGGCCGCACTCCAAGAGATCTTCAGGGGCCTCCTGAGCGGCGAAGTCCTGCGGAACCTTGAGATTCAGCCCACACCAGATGGAGGACGCTGTCTGGCCGAAGAGCATCATTGACTCTTTGCGGGGACCAACCCCGGAGAACTCAATCAGTCCAAGAGAAGACCCACTGGCTTCGGGAGGCGAGCTTGGACGAGCGTCGCCAGAACCCTTGGCAGCTTGGGCATCATCGTCCCGGAGACGGCGGACGTCGGAATTCTGCGGGGGAGAAGCACGAAGATGGGGCCGGGAAGTAGGTTTCCGCTTGAGGGGACTCCCGGGCTCCCCATCGGAATCATCGGCCACAATGATGGCCTTGGAGGAGGTGCTCTCAGCACGTGGCCTCTTGGAGGCACCGGCCCCCGAAGCGTCATCCTCTCGTGCCCTAGTCACCCGAGGTTCGACCTTGGGGACGAGCGGCTTCCCCGGCTTGTCATGCCCCTTGTGTTCACGGCCGGCGGCAGTCAAAGCAGCGTTGACCCGGCTCATCGTAGACGTGGAAGGAAAAATTCCTGCACAAAGGGAACCAAGACGTTCAGAGCCATAACAGTGGAGAGAAGTTAAAACAATACAAGTACAAACGGACGCACCTAACCCAGCCCGAGCTTTAAAAGGCTCGGCCACCAGCAACCGGAGGTTCTGGATGCCAAGTCCGGCTATGCGCTTGGCATATCCGAGCTCCTCGTCCGTCATGGGCGGCGGGATCGTCTTCACCGGGTAAGCATTCCACCGGTCAGAGAATGGCATCGGTGAGCCTACTCCGGCCAGGAAGAAGCGCTCTTCCCAACCATCCGGATTCCCAGCATTGTTCGAGAATAGGACCATGGACGGACGGGCGATCAGGGTCAGATATCCCGTGCGTCCGAAGGGGGACAGCCGGAAGAAATGGTGCAGCAGGTCCACGGTGGGGGTCACACCGACGCTGTGGCATCTAATGATGAAGCCAGCGATTATCCGATAGGCGGCAGGGACGAACTGCGCAGGCACTATCTCAAGGGCCCTGAAGAGCTCCAGGTGGAAGCTATGCAAGGGAAAGTTCAGCCCGACTATCACCGAATCCAAGTGGACCACCACATAGCCGGACAGATGGCGCATGGGGTTGCGCAGACGCCGATCGTCGTAGGTCCTTGGTGGATAGAACCATTGGCTGATCAGACGCTTGTCAGCATTCGTCAGGCGTTGGATTTGACGCCGAACGTACGAAAAGCTGAGGCTATAACGGGGAGGCCAGGGCGGCATTCCCCGCTCATAATACTCCAAGTCTTCACCAGAAGAACAACCATCGTCGAGGCGGTTTTCGGAGGACATGGCAACGAACGGTACCTTTTGCTTGGGTACTGGCGATAAATCCGGCTCGTAGAGGTTGCTAGAGAGAGAATATATTTCCGCAGCGTATGGGCTAAATGAATCGACGATGACTGATCTCGTGGTATTTGGGCACTTATAAGCGAAATGCTGCAGATCGACACCAACCGCAGGCTGGCACGTGTCCAAATAACACCGGCATAGTAATAACTCTGGAAGGCACCTCGAGCCCCGCGCTTTTGGGGAAGCCAAGAGGCCGCTGACGGATCTTAGAAGTCGGGTCCGACGACGGACGTCGACCACAGAACCTGGGATCCCCACAAGCTGGGAGGGCAACACCAGACGAACATTGTCGGACACAATGCCCCGTCCCTCAGGGCCACTCGTACAAATAGCGACGCCTTATTAGTCTTGTAAATCGGCTATCTAAGGTGGCAAGGGCAGGACTAGTTCGAAAGCATACGGCCGAAGGGCCCGGATGCCCAAGGTGCGAGGGGCCTGGCTAGGCAACGGGCGTCTAAGCCAGGAGATGACGACGTCCGGCGGCAAAAAATACGGGTACGCTACGCGTCATCTGGCTACGAACGGCGTGAGTACATTGAAAGAATAAGGTACAAACACGGCATAAAGACGAGCTTTGGCAAAACATGGATTTTTATTCTTCAGCACTATCGGCTGGAAAGTACAAGTCTATATGCTACAATCGGAAGGAAGGCTAGACTAAAATATAAATCACCACATATAGGGGGACGATGGCCGGCTCCCGGCATGAGTGTGCTCTTCCACTTGAGGCTCGGGCTCGGGGGTTGGGGGTTCCGGGATATCCCCCATAGCTATGGCCGCCGCTCGGCGCCTATCCCGCTTTATTTTCCCCAGGGCTTCAATCAGCAGGTCCTCCTCCGTATGATCGGCCGGGTTGACGTCAAGGCCCAGAAGCTTCTCAAAGATGGGGAGAAAGGCTTTGACCCCTTCGCTATAGCCACCGGCGAAGGCGCTATCAGCAGAATCATAAAGGAATTGGCGCGCTAAGGGAGAGTTTCCCATTAGCCGCACGCCGTATTTCAGACGATCCTTCGCCGGGACCTTCTCCAGGGCATGAGAGAACACGTCTCCAAAGGCCCCAGCGCAGAAATCCTTGGCCGAGTCCATGAACTCGCCAGTATTCCGGTAGCCGGAGGTATCAACGCACCATTCCGGGATGGCACCCTTGGGGGCCGGGAGCACCGGCATAAGCTTGAAGCCGGCCTCCTCCAAGCAGGCCAGTTGGGCGCCAGTTTCAGCCTGAACGGACCGAAGCTCCTCCCTGGCCGAGGCAGCCTCTTCTTCTGCCCGACGGGCGACCTCCCGAGCCTTCAAAATGGCGGCATCGGCCTTGCTCTTCACCTCTTGCAGGGCGGCCTCCCTGGCGGCCTCGGCTTGCAGCACCAACAGCCCTGACTGTAAGGAATGGAATGAACAGAAATTAGATGGCATAACGACGGGCATCAGAGAGACAATGAGTCGAACCGCGACAATACCTGGATGGCCGCTGCCAGAGCGGCGCTGGTCGCTTCAGAAGACGACCGGGGGGCCAGTTCGAGGCCGGCCTTGGCCCCAAGCTCCCTCCAAAGCTCCTCCGCCGGCCGGCTCAGGGAGAGACCGTTGGCATCTTCAACAACCGGGCCGGAGGAAGAACAGTCTCGCCCCCTCTTTGGCTTCTTCTCCGGGGCCCTCTCGACCCCCTTCTTGGGGACCACCTTCGTTGCGGCGATCGGCGGGGGGAGTGCAGACTCAGCATGGTGGGGTATGGCCCCCTCATTCAGGAGGGTGGCAATCAGATGCTGCTCACCATCGGCAGTCCGACGGGCGGCCTCAGAGGCAGACGACCCGGTACCATGGGCGGCGGCCTCCCTGGCCGCTTTGGCCGCAGCCATCTTCGCCTTCCTGTTCCTCAGGCACTCGGCGTTGTCCATTTGGTCAGCGGTAAGAGGAAGACCTGCAAGAGAGAAATACAAGAATATGAAAAGACGAACAGGGAAAGGGAGGAACACCCACCTCAGAGGACAGGACCGCCCGTGCCCCGAGACGAGCGTCCAAGGGGGGAAGGAATCCAGGAACACGGGCGGTACCTATGCCTGCTTCAGAGAGTGCCTCGGGGGTCAGGTATTCTCCTATGGGGCGAATGCCGCCTTCCAGGACTTTGTTAACTTCCGCCTCCAGCTCGTCCGTCAGCACCGGCGACTCAATCTTCGGGGGGTAACCGTTCCAGCGGATTGGGAGGGGAGGACCATCATATCTGAGGAAGAAGAGCCTATTCTTCCAATCATGGATGGAGGAGGGATAGTGCTCAAACAGCTTCCTCTTCGGACGAGCGGCCACACTCAGATAACCGTCGGAATTCTGCGGGGTGACCCGGTAAAAATAGTGAAACAGATCCAGGGATATATCGGCTTCCGCGGACGAGCAGCGCACAAGGAATGCGGAAATAAACCTATAAGAGTTGGGCATGAACTGCGCCGGGACTGCCTGGTAGCAGTTGAAGAACTCCACGTAAAAAGGGTGGAGGGGAAACCGCAGACCGGCCTCTACGGAGTCCACATGCAGGATGATCATCCCCGGCCGTCGCCGCATGGCATGTTCAGCCCCACTATGGCTAAAGACGAACGGATGGGGGAAGAAGGAAGCAATCTTGTTCATGGCGACACTTGAGAGAGATTGCCTGTGCTCTAAGACGCTCTTAATCTTGCAGATGTGCCTCTGCACGTCCATGGGGATACCCAAATCGTGCACCTCCAGGTCAGAGCCAGATTGAGCCTCATCCGCGGAGTCATACCCAGCCGCACGTTCATTCAGAGGCACTGCCTCAATGGCACCTTCGGAAATGTCGGCGCCTTGCTCACTGTCGACGTGGATAGTCCCTACGGTGGACACCGAACCTGGGTTGCCGGAAATGCTGGTTTTCCCGGAGGAACGGGAGCCAGAATTGGAGGAAGAATCAGAGTCGGAGCCCGAAGAACCAGAACTCGAACTCGAAGAGATCTCCATCGAAGTCATCACTAAAAGAAAGGACGAGGGGGAGGAGGAATAATTACCTTAAAAAAGACTTGGAGATGGACTTGGGGAGACGTAATGAGAAACCCGAAGAGCGGCAAGAGAACTCGAAAGCAAAAACCAGAAATCGGAAACCCTAGACATCAGGGGACTTCTGGTATTTATAGTGGAGGCACCCCCGGAGGGACGAATGAAGAAGCGACACGTGGCGAGGAGCGTACCCTGGCGGGAATCCAACCTGGGGAAGCGATACGCGTAATGATAGCTTCCCATCGGGAGTCGCACCGTTTCGCCGCCAGCCGCCACCTCGATTCACCCGCAGTCGCCCAACTCGGGGAACCCTTCGGTCAGGTACGTCCAGTTCCTCATAGGCAAGTACGGAAGACGGACATCCTCCAGGAGGCACAGCATACTTCCTTATGTCCCACGCACGCTTGGAACATCAGAAGTGGGGGACTTGTGTTGGGTAAATGGCCCCGAGCAGGGGTCCGGCCCAATTACCCCCAAACCGACGTACGTCGCCCAGCCCACGGATGGCCCTGGTCTGAAGGAATGAGGACGAATGTCTATCTCCGGAATAACAGCTCAAGGTCCCGGCCGAGGGTCGGTTAGCACATCCGTGACGAACGTCGTCAGCCGAGGCCCATCTCCGTAGATGGCCCAGGCCCAAAAGATTGTTACGTTCCCAGGAAGGGCCGCAGACGAACGGCCCCCGGTTCTACCCGACGATCGTGGTCATCAATTAGGCGGGGAACTCAGATTCTGGCGGGAAGCGCATTTAATGCTGGAGATTTGGTGGTTGGGCCATAGCCACTAACAATCCTCCACATCATCAGGACTAACTGCCCATTGGCGGGTATAAATAGTAGCATTTATTTCATTGAAAAGGGTTGGCAACTTTCTATTCTTAGGATATTAGCTTCAGCATTCTTACTTGCAGCCTTTCTAAGTGCCTTGTAAGACGAACGGCCGACGTGCCTTATTAGCAAGTAGATTGTATTTAGGGGAGTTATTACGAAGTTAATAATACCTATTTACATTGCCTGCTACTACTTTTGTTTTCCTGATCCATCTGACAATTGTTGGGCTAGATATCCACACACTCACTCCATTCGAAATCTTTGGGCTTACGTGTTGGGTCCAAGGGTTGAAGGAATAAACCTCAACATAAAATAAATAATAGTGAATTTTTTTTACTGAATTGATTGAAGTTATTGTAAATGATAATTTTAATTATTTTTCATATTGTACTCAATTAATTTTATTACTTAAATATATTTAAAATATTTTTTTCACAAAATATTTTATGAATATAGAAACGGAAAATTTAAGGTGAGACACCCAAAGAGTGAATATTAATTGGGGAGGGAGGCCGTCGTTTTCGAAACGCCACTAAGCAAGAGCTTCATCGATCTCTTTCGGACATACAAAGGAGTGTACATTAATTTATTCCGATCCATTATTTTTATTATTAGTAATTAATTAATATTAATATATCGTCACGACCCTCTATCTCTCTCCGGCGGTTATCCATGTTCTCGCGCGCACTCCGTCTCTCTCCTTCCCTTAATTCACTTAATTAATTAACAGGTTTTTATATTTACATTTATTTTTTTTACAAAGAAAAAGCTAAGCACATGTCTTAGAGGGATAGCATTAATTGTTGAAATTTCTTGTTGCCTTATAATCTAGAAGTAGAATAATATTGTGTTATTTCCAATTGAATTAAGGAGACGAGCGGTTGGGCGGGCAATGAAGGGCAGGGGGAAGAGGAAGTTTTTCAAGTGCCTGGAACCGTCAGGTGTACACGACGGCGACTGTAAATCTAACGGCGCCACCGACGACGCCGGTAAATCTAAACGTTCCAATAGCGGCGATGCTTTTAATGTGTTCCCACGGGATTTTTCGTCGTCTTCCCACGACGGGGACTTCTCCAAAAATACGGAAGCAAAATCTCGTAGAAGCATATCTCGCCTCATCAAAGCCATCCTTTTCGAAACGTCGCTGGTTCGTACGTAATTACTCCGTATTTGTGTCAATCGGTTGTGTGTCAGTTTTTTTTTGTTCATTTTGAATTTGTTGTGCAGTCACGGAAATTTCAAAAGAAAGGGCTGTGTCTTCCAATCTTAGAATCAAAAGATGAACATTTAATGTCAGAAGAAACAGAGAGGGCAAAAATGTCGCCGGAGGAAAAGAGGTTGTCGGGAAAACAATCAGAAGATATTCTGGGTGGGAGCCGTTCATCGGACAATATGTGGGACTGTTCGTCCTTATCCACGACCACGGCATCCTCTTCCCGTGCATCTTCGAGGTCAGCGTCGGACAGAATTGGGATATTTGAGCCGGCGGGGAAACACCCGACAACCTTAAACGAAGAGGCGGCGGCGGCTTCCATGATGAAGGCGGCCAACATACCTCCGATTTTGAAACCACCGAAATCGACGGCGGAAGGGAAGGAGCAACCGCATGTTCCAAAACACGCGGCAGCGGCGGCGATGCGTTATTGTTGCTGCCCCAAAAGTAGTAGCCGGGGAAGCGTACGAGTAATCTGTTTTGTGATAATATCTTTGATGGCGTTGGTGTTTGGGGGGAAAGTTTTGGCCATTGTTTTCACTTCAATTTGGCTGTATTTGGTTCCCCATCCTTCGTTCGGCCAGCGGTCACTGCAGCCTCACTCCGCCGTCGACGACGGAGTCGTGTCCAAAGAAACCACCGCAAGTCGATCGGTCTTTGTCCACACCCTTAATTAATTAGTCGTTGACTCATTGTTAGGTTTTTGTTTTACATTTTTCTTAATCCTTGCTAGCTGATGAAAATTCCCTTTAATAGCACACTTGCTTTCGTCTTACTTTGCATGCAATTAATATTGATTTTTCAAGATGCAACTATATATTGGTACCAAAAAGCATAGTCACACGACGTCTTTGATTCATTATAAACTTCTATACCGATCATGGTAGGATCTATGTATGAGCTATGGTAGGCTGAAGTCCAGAGCAACTGGGATTTTCTTTAATTTTTTTAGTGTAATTTTTTTTTCATTTTTCACATTTAGCTAACCCCTATAATATTTAAGTCTAATATAATTCATATTCAGCCCAAGACGTCCCTGAATACTGGATCCGCCCCTGATACCGATGCTAGTATATTGTAATGAAATGATTGCAATATGTGTATGATAAGTGATTGGCTAAGAAGAATGTAATTGGAGCAAAGAGAACTGTTATAGAGCTTTAGAAGTTTGAATGCTTGGAGACTTGGCTGGTTTCAAATGACAAGCTATACCCCTATTTTTATTGGCCACCTCCTAAATGGACGGCGGTGATCAGCTTGATCTAAAATGTAGGGGTGATTTTACACAACACTATCTCTACGTGAAAATATTTTTGTATACATCTATATTATTGAAGATATACAAGGTATTTCTGTACATCTATATTTTTATTAAATTCTAGAGAACTCTAGAGGTCAAATTAATGAGGTTTATTCATTTGTCAAGAAGAAAATGTCAAAATGACATGATCACATGACCTCCCCCCACTTAATTGGCTGAAGTCCTTGTCGCTTGAGCGACTCAAGATTGTCTCAGAATTGCCACATGTCTTCCTCTAGTCCCCATGTTGCTTTCAAATTTGATCTCTTCAATTGATTAACTATTGAGATTAATGTAAAACACACCTCTTCAAATTTTCTTTTTCGCTGAGTACCTCCTCAATTTCTTAGTCATAAGACTTAGTCACCACGAGTGGTGCCCGGCTTGACAACCCTCACATCATGTATCTTCATCACCATGATATGTATAAAAAACCGAAAACATAGCTCACCAAACGGGCTCTAAATATTTTCAAATTTATTTGCGTTTAATATAAAACTTAAGTAAAGTAACGTGTAGTTTATTACCAAAATAAGTAAGATTGAAGTTACTTTTATGACTGAATTGACTGAAGTTACTATCGGGGACGATTGAAGCTATTTTTTCGTTGTATCGAGGACGATTGAACTATTTTTTCGTTCTATCGAGAACGATTGAAGCTATTTTTTCGTATAACTTTTTCATTATTTTAGTACTAGGATATATTCATAATACTTTTGATCAATAATTCAGCTTATTCAACTAATTTTATGGATTGAATTTGAAATTAATTAATTTCAGCAAATTTTAGGTAATATACACTCGTTTAGGCATAATTTAATGTACCATAGACCAAACAAACTGGGTGTAAAAAACAATTAAAGCAAATAAGAGTGTTTACGTTCCTACCAGATGACAACTTCTTGTCGTGCCATCTAGGGCTGGGCATGGGCCGGGTCGGGGCGGGTAATGCAAAATAAAATGGAACCGTCGGTTCCATTGTACGGTTCGGTTCGGTCCGGGCATTACAATTTTCAAAATAGGAACCGGAAATTACCCGGCCCGTTTGAAACGGGTCGGTTCGGTCCGGGTTTTACAGTTTCTATTCTCATGTCTTGAAATTAGTAAAAACTCACAAAGTTCCAAAAATCAATAATCAATAATATAAGACATTAGCAAGTTTCAAAATAACAACATAGTGGTGCACATATAACACAAGTCCAATACTCCATAATTTTTTGTATATAAGTTTCAAACAATTAAAGAAATTCCAAAAATATGCAACATAGCCAAAATACATATTTTCTAACATTTGTATTTAAACATGTTGTCTAACATCACATATTAAAGTGATTGCTTTTTTTATATTAAATTTTTAGTATTAGCCAAAGTTGACACATACATGGTGGGTGGTAAACACAATTTATATATTTTAATAACAATATAATAAAAAAAAATATAACAAAATCATCTTTAACAAATAATTAAATTCCATAGAAAGGAATAATTCAATAACATTAAAAAGTAATAAGATATTTATGAAACATTTAATCAATAATTTGAAAACAAAAGGATATTACTACAACTCAATTTAAAATCCTACTTCTAGCAAAGGAAACAAAACTATTTCAAAACCGATTATCACAAAACTATTAATAAATTAATATACAATATATATAATGGTCCGGGCCGGGTATCCGTTATTTTTTAATTTTGGAACCGGTCTGGTTCCTCAAAAAAAATTACCCAACCCTACCCGGACCGTTTTATGGCAACAAAAAATGGAACTTGTCCGTTTTGGACCCGAACCGCCATTACCCGGACCGGACCGCGGTTTCAAGAACCGTTTGCCCACCCCTGGTGCCATCCATCCATCAACGGTAATGGCAGTGCACAAAGACAAAGAGGTAAAACCCTAGAGTATTAAGGATAAGCAGATCGGCAGATGGTAGAGGCGTCGCAGTTGGTAAACATGACAGATGACGCACGCGGACCGGAAGATGACCGCATCAGCGCCTTATCAGATCCGATACTCCTCCGCATCCTATCCTTGCTCCCTACAAAACAATTCATCGCGACAGCCGTTCTCTCCCGGCGCAGACGCTTCCTCTGGTTCTCTGCCCAGTCCCTAATCTTCCATTACAATGGCGACTTTAATAGATGTGTCTATTTCATAGATTTTGTAGTCACTGCTGTGATGTTCAACAGTTCCCCCAAAATCGAGAAATTTTCCGTCACGGTGAACAGTAACTGGACCTGCAGGACCAATCACGTGACCACCGTCACCAGTTGGATCCGATTTGCCACAGTGAAGCTCGTGGAGAAGCTCAATATACTACTCGACGGTGAGAAGTACACGTTGGCGCCACAACTCTTCAGGAACAATCACCTGAGGGTAATGAACTTCAAGGGGTGTAACATCGAGATCCCGAGGAGGGGCGTCTCGTGCCCAGCGCTGGAGTCGCTAACTATCGCCAGTTGTGGCAACATCACAAAGCCAATGATCAGGAAGATTTTGGATGGTTGCCCTAACATTGTGTGCCTGGACGTCGTCGATTCCTACGATCCTGATCGCGGGCGCGAGGTGAATCATCACCATGAGTATATCATGGTGAAACCCAATCAACCATCGCATATCAGGTTTAGGGGTTAATTAATACAAGTATTTGGCAAATTGTCATCATATTGGATTGGTAATATCATTCATTGTGTATTTAGCTTCTGCGTGCAATTTCTGTGATTAGTTGTTACGTGGTTTATCACAGACCCGTCTAGGATGCCAATTGGGTTATCGTTATGGATTATTTGGTGAGAAGGACTGCTTAATTGCTGTTCCACACAAAATGTTCACTCTGCGTTCATCTAATTTTACTTGATTACGCGTTTTTACTCATTAGGAAAAGCATTTTGTGTCCACTTTGCATGGACTCATTTTTACCTTTGACTTAACTATACTACTCCTATTACCTATTGGAGTTGCCAAAATTATTTTTCTAATAGTACACTCACTGGCTCACTGCAAAATTATGCAAAAAAAGTGCAAGGGATCTATTACTACGGCTTAGATCTCCACGTGGTTCCAAAACGTTTAGCCCAAGCACCACCAGGCCACGAACAACACCACAAAGGTGTATCAAGGACCAACCATGGTGCCTTCTCAACGTTCACAAAGAGTAGAAAGGAGTATGTGGAAGAAGAGGCCACGGAATCCACACACAGAGTGACAGTGATGAAGAGGGGATCACGGCCAGGTGACCGGAAACCACCAGTTCCGGTTAGCAACTAAGGCTCCAACTAATGCCGGAGCTGCTTAAGTATCGGCTAGCAAGTAGTGAACCGCAAGGAAAGATTCTGTAGGAGGCCCGGACAAACAGATAGGGCCAAGGCTGCTAAGCGGACAGGCCCAAGACCAAGAGAAGGCAAATGAGTGCCTTGGACCCAGATGGGCCAATACCTCCAGCACAAAGAAAAAGATGTTTGAGTAGCCCCTCATTCTCCGTAAAGAAAGCGGTCACAAGAATATCTGAATATCTATACCGAACCATATATATGTGCAATCCGAGATATGAATTAATGTAACGAGAGAATTGGGTGTATATACTCTTTAGAATTTGTTTGTAGTTTTAAATTAATACTTCGTATTATATATTTACAAAAATAAAATGCATAGTCTTTTACGAAGAATTACCGGCTATGTATATTCAATAGTAACGTTGAAATAAATGGACTTTGGTTCTATTCTAATTGAATTTTTACCAGCAAGTATGGTTTGTTGTATTTATGAATGCTAACACTTGTTCTGTATTAATCTTCAAAGTGTTATACACTTCATTAAACATAATAGAAGTTAGTAATCTCTTGTAGCCTATTGTTTAGGCTAATTTGATACTTTTCCTAATCGAAATGATGTATTTTTTTTTTGGCTCTATGGCATTTTAATTTAGCATGATTATCATAGTACCTGAAGTTAGACAATTAATTTCATCTGATATAAGGGGCAAACGAGAAAAACACATAGTGGTATTTTAATAAATATAATCTAAACAAAAAACGCATTCAAAAAATTTAATTGCATTCATTGTAAAGTGCCTTTTATCTAGTTAAACAAGAATGACTAATTACATGTCCGAGTTAGTTAAGGCAACGAAGAGAAAAAAGTGAAGTGTCAAGAAATCAAGAGGTTTTGGTTTCCTTCTATCTAGCGTCTAACAGAGAGATGGTAACATCATTTACAGAACTGGGTGTTTGTGTACTCCAAGAGCTGTGTTGTTCAGTAGGAGCCACACTTCTCTGTGTAAAAAAACCTGGCAGCTTAGCTTCTGGCAGAACACCTTCATTGCCCAACATCCACACCACCGATGACATGTTTGGTCTATCCTCTGCAGCTTGTTGCACACACAACAGAGCCACGTGGATCGATCTAGTCACTTCGGCTGGATCGCATGAACTAACCAGTATAGGATCCACCATTTCCATTGACCTATTCTCCTTATATAGAGTCCATGCCTAAATCATTTGGTGGAATCATGTTATCAGGCATTCAGGCCTAATCATTGGATGGGGTAGGTAATGAACATAATATAAGAAAGAAGGTAGTGTGTGATACTTACATGTCCAAGCAGGTTTAGGTGGTGATCTGGATGAATAAACCGCCGGTTCTTCTTCCCACCTATGATCTCTAATACCAAGACTCCGAAACTAAACACATCTGATTTTACAGAGAATATCCCGTCAACTGCATATTCTGGAGACATGTATCCACTGCATCCAAAATGTGCACACAATAAGATATGCGGAGTATATCAATATATGCTAATTGAATGAAGAAACATATGCAGAGTATTCCAGCTGAGAGTCATGTTCTATACTCACAGGGTCCCCAAAATTTCAAGACCTCATACATATGTGTGTGTGTGTTCATGTGTAATTGTTCCACTAAGAAGGCTGTTTAACGTGAGAAATGCAAAATGTTTACTTTTGAGTATATACATTGCACTTTTATGTTCAAAGACTCCAACTCTTCACAATGGCAATAAAATTCAACCAATCACGAAAATGCCACCACATTTTTTTATCACTCCTTTTAGCATTGTTGGCAATTTTAGAGCCATTGGATACCAAATCTAATGTACTAGATTCATTCATATTTCTTACAATAAGGCATAATCTATTCTCATGATCCGGAATCTATATGTGTGGGTAAGAATCACTAAACACACAACACAGCCTATATTTGTTGCCCTCAATTCCTCAAATATGGGTTGATTTTCCTATATTGTAACTAAAGATAATTTTATGTAAAATAATGATCAAATTTTATCAAATTAGTATTGAGTGTTAATTCTACAGAAGTAAATAAGGGCTTAGATTTTTATATAGTCTTTGCCATGTGACTTGTTATACTTACTACGTTCCAACCACGCGACAAGTGTTGGCTCCTGTCTCATTTCCTCCAAAACTTTTGGCCATCCCAAAGTCCGATATCTTCGGGTTCATGTCAATGTCAAGTAAAATGTTGCTGGTTTTGAGGTCTCTATGGATGATTCTCAACCTGGAGTCTTGATGAAGATACAGAAGTCCTCGAGCGATCCCGTTGATAATGTTGAAGCGTTTTGGCCAGTCTAGCAGTCCACTCCGCGCTTCATCTGTCCAAATGTTTTATCTATGATCAAATCGAAGCTAAGCTACATATCAAAGGAGATCATTTAGTTTGATGCATGGCAAATGCTTACCAAAAATGAATAAATCAAGGCTCTTGTTAGGCATGTATTCATAAACAAGCATGGTTTCTTCTCCTTCAATGCAGCATCCTAAAAGCTTCACAAGATTTCTATGCTGCAGCTTTGCAATGCAAATTACTTCGTTCTTGAACTCCCCAAGCCCTTGCTTTGATGTTTCAGAGAGTCGTTTCACTGCTATTTCTTGTCCTCCTTCAAGCACCCCCTAAAATATTTAATAGATCATGATGTGTTTGCCAATGATGGGAAGTTCTTTTAAATTTTGGTCTGTTCTGTTAAATGCGAAATTGTGGGCGGGTTTATATGAATTATAAAAGAACCAGTCTACTATAAATCTCTTTGGTCTAATGTAATCACGTTTGAATGTTTCTGATTTTTTCATTTTCTTATGTGAAATATAATATTCAGTTGCTCTCACATTTAAGTTAGAAAATTTTAGGGTAATTAAGTTAGATTTAATTGTGATGCATAGGAATTAATCTTCAAGGGTATTTTATCAACCATACATTACAAGAGAACTAACCAATAGCAACACTCATAAGGAAATAACAGTATCAATATGCTAATAGGGAATTACCACAACTAAATAATAATAATACTAACAATAAAATAATAAAGATTATGAAATAATAATTAATACTAACAATAAAAAGTGAGATCCGCCCCTCTCATGAGATCCGCTCTTATCATTTTATACTATAAAAAGTGAAGAGCAAAAAGAATAAGATTTATAACGCTTGAAGGTTCTGGTTTGAGGGCATGGAAATAATGGTAAGAAAAATAATTTTGATATTTCCTTGTCATTTATAACGCTTGAAGGTTCTGGTTTGAGGGCAGACGGTCGGAAATGGACTTTTTGTCATTTTGTATCTTGCTTGAATTCTGATTATCCAATAAGCCACTTTCTTCCAAAAAAACTATAACGCATGAAGAAAATTGAAATTTGGTTAAAACTTTTTAAAGTTCCACATATATTTATATTTCTTGATTAGTTTATATCATGAAAATATCTTAAATGACATGAGTTTGATCAAATATCTAAAATTGATCCATTTAGTGAACCTTATATTTTGGTTATAGAAAAAAATTATACTTCGTATATCCTTTCAGTTGTTGCTATACTTTCTTTCCCTGTAGGCAAACGGACAGTTAAACATTGTCCATATATAGTAGGATATACAGGTGGATAGATTGGGCTGGCAAGTAAGAAAAATTCATACCTTATAAACGGGTCCAAAGCCACCTTCCCCAAGTTTGCTGTTTAGTGAAAAATTGTCAGTGGCTTTACTTAATGTAAACAGATCAAGCAGAGGCAGCTCCAGATCTTCAGTGTGTCTCTGAGCACTCGAGCCCTTCATGGTGTTGTGCCCACCACAAACTGCAAACATTATGAACAGTTCTATCAATTGATCAGCTCAATTACAACTACTTTTTATTATTATTATTTCAGAAAACATTGATATGGATATTATTGTATACATAAAGATGAGGGAACAATCTTCTTATGACATATATACCGTCATTTGGGACCTCTGGAATAGCCTTGTTCCTTTTCCTGAAATAGCAGGAGGCTGTGCCCAATACCAGAAGAACTGCAGCAATACCCAATGCCAATCCCACATACACCGCCTCCCTTCTTCTCTTCCCAGTAGATCCTTCTATAGAAGCTGCCAACAAAATCGGATCAACCACCAATATTGGTTCTTTTCTCCTAACAACAATGATACTATCAATAGTAACAGCACTAATTGCAATAAATTTATTAGGACTGATTTGGGAATTTGTTCATGGTTGAAAAAAGCTACTCCCTCAAAAACACTTTTAAAAGATGTTTTAGGAATTGGTGAGGAAAGTGCATTTCGTAGTGAGTGACAAGTGTTGTGTAAAGTTACATACGGAGTTAAAAAGATTTTATAGTCAAAAGAAAAATTCTTCTCAAATTGCAAAACATACTCCCATCCCATATAGGTTCTAACTTGACTATAACTATATGCAACTGGTAAATTACTCACTCTGCTTTTATTTGTTATGCCACATTCATTTTTTTGTGAAAATGTGCTTCGCTTTCCCGATAAGAACAAAGAAATTCCAAACGGTCGGAATGAATTCCATCTTACCCAATGCGGCAGAATGTGCCATTCTGATATAGATGTCTTGCCCGGCTTCGGAAAGCTGCCTGGTGTCGACCAGGTCTCCCATCCACAGCAAGCACCCACTCCCTCCATTCCGAATGTCCAAACTCGAATATGCCATACACGAACAGTTCCTCGCACAAACCGCCTTGCATTCTCCCAGCGACATCGTTTCGTTGTACCGGGAGATGTTCGTGTCCGGCAGTTTCACGCCGGGGTACTTGATGAACCCGTCTCCGGTGCAGTTCAGAGGCGCCTCCCGGACGCACCCCGCCGACCAATCCGCACTCCCCCAATCCCCCGGATTCCTCGGAACGAACTTGTCCAAACACTGGCACACCGGAGCGTCCAGAACGTTGCAGGTGCCGTAAGGGCCGCACAGTCCGTACGCGTCGCAATCGTCCGCCTTCACGCTGTGGTAGGTCTGCCACGATCGGGTGTTCTCCACCCATGTCCGCCGCGCCGTGACTCCGTCGGGGCTCACCACCAGAGTCGAGATCACCGACTTGTTCACCAGCTCGTATCTGTAGTAAATCTCCTTTTTATTCATAACCAGCCCGAATGACGTCATGGTGTTGTTCACCATGTTCGGAGCGCCGCTCCAGTGGAGGCCGTTCCAGGGCCCGGCCCGGTAAACCACTTTGGACCCTTTCCTCAGAAGATCCTGGGGATACCCTGTGATGTCGCAGTGATAAGTGTAATCCCCCGGGGAGGGATCGCCGGAGCTCTTCCACGACGACAGGTACATTTCCAGGCCGGAAACCAAGTTCTTCCCGAGCTTCATGCTCGCCAGCAACGTGTCGGTCGGGTAATCGAAGCTCTGCCATATGAAATTCTCCGGGTCCTCGTCGTCTGCCTCTCTGACCACAAGATTCCCTGTTTTGAGCAGCTGGGCGACCGGGTTCTTCGCCGGGGGCCGAGCGGCCGACGAGACCGTGGACCAAACGGGCGTCTGTTGAGAAGTCGGGTGATCGTCGTCGTGGAGGAGGGAAAGAACGCCTGCGGGCTGGATGATCTTCAAGACTCCTCCGGGCTTGCTTCTAAGAGGCGCTTGCCTATTGGCAACCCAGACCGGAGCTCCGTCGGTGGCCCTGTACCAGATTCCGACGTACCGGTTCAAGGTGTTTCCGGCCGGACTGAAGAAGCCTAACTCGAAGGTTCCGTCGGAGGAGACAATGGTGTGGCCATCTTTGAGGGGTTGGGCGGGCGTGATGGTGTCCGTTGTATTGCAGGAGATGTTGGTGATGAGGAGAAGAGAGGAGATGAAAAGGAAGGGGATGGACTTGTCCATTATCATTGGTCCAGCGCTGAGATCATTGAATTGAATTGAATTGAATGTGTTTGGGATGGAATTAGAAAGCAGGAGGAATTGTACTCATTATCTGTCAGTATCCCTTAACTGCAGAAGACAAATGAGGTAACCATACCGATACCCAGTCAACTGCCCCGCCTACCCACGACTAAAGCAGCTTTCCCATTAATTCGTTAACATGGAAAGTAGCCGCTCTCTTCATTCCTAAATTAACTTCCAAAGTATATTTAGCACAAAATTAAGACATTGATTACGGTGAATCACAAGAAGGAAAGATGGAGTAGTTTTTTTTTTTTGTATTTGAGAGTTAGACTATTCTTATAAATGACATAAAGCGTGAAGGGAAGGCTCAAGCTTTTGAAGTCTAAAATCTAAATCAGAATGAGAGAGGTCTAGATGTGAAAAAGAATTATAAATAGGGTTGAGATTTTAGAACCGAGTACAAGAGAATCGATCTGAACTGAATTGTTATGAGCCGTTTCGGTTCGGATCCTATTATTGAGTTACATGTCCTTAATTGTTCGGTTCGTAATACTTCGATCTTAACGGTTTGGTTCTCGATTCCTGTTAAAAATATGTTGGCAGAATCATTAAGGTATCTTTATGTAGTATTCGCTCCGTCCCACTAACAATGAGACAAGAGGGAGTAAGACACGGATCAATAAAAAGTAGTTTATGTGGTTTATATTAAATTGAAAAAGTAAAAATGATTTAGAGTTACACAAATTTTATCAAATTTGGTATGAGACCATTCTAGTGGGACGAACCGAAAAGGTAAAATGAGACAAGTTGACAACCTTAGCGGGACGGAGGGAGTATTTTTTTTCTTTAATTTTATGTTTGTATTTTTGTTTGTGTTTGTGTTTATGTCTATCTCTATGTTTATGTTTAATGTTTCATTTATGCTTATGCTATATATTTTACATTTATATTTACATTTAGTTATGTGTGATACATTTGAGCTAAAGTGGGCTGAAACATTCTATTCATAAGACATAAAAGTCTCTAATTATATGACATGTTTCCCTCCCTAGCAGTCTAGGGTTTGTTCGCCGCTTCCGTCACTTTACGTCGATATCTCTCGCCGATTTTGGCCGGTTAGTTGTCTGCATGGCTGACGATATGAAAGACCTGTATGCTCGGATGAGTCGTCAGGATGATGAAGATGAGGATGTGGACCTTGATGAGGTCTTACCGGAGACATCGCCGGTGATTGGTCGTTTATTAACATATGAGACTTTCAAATTCCCGTTTTTCAGAGACACTATGGCGAATGTCTGGCATCCAGCAGGAGGAGTTAATATCTGTGAAGTTGGTGATCGTAGGTTCTTGTTTCAATTCTTCAATGAAGTTGACTACGAGCGAATCATGGTAGATGGCCTTTGATGTTTTGAAAACTCTCTTATAATCTCACACAAGTTGGAGGCATCGGATAACCCGACCTGCCAGCATTCCATTGGATCGTATGCAGTTCTGGATTCAGGCATTTAATCTCCCCTTTGAGTTATTTACAGAGAAGGTTGCCAAAATCATTGGCGATTAAGTGGGGAACTTTGTAATGGCAGATGAGAGCAATTTTAAGGGGAGCTGGAAAGAGTTCATGTGTATCCGAGTCTCTCTCTTCGTTGAAGCTCCTCTTAAAAGACGAGTCAAGTTGAAACGTGGAGGCGAACCCATTTGGGTTGATTTGAGGTATGAGAGTTTCCCTTACTTTTGCTTTATTTGCGGGCTCTTGAACCACGTTGATCGCAAGTGTTCGAGGAGGTTTGAGTACTCTAACGGGGGCAAAGAGAAGTTGTTTGGGGCGTGGTTGAGAGCTGGCTTCAGGAGAGGCAGTGCTAGTTAGGGAAGCAAATGGTTAGCGAATGGCGAGGGGAATTTTTTGTTTGGAAGACACTTTAGGGTGGAGGCATCAAATCCGTTGAATGAGGGAGAGCCGGTAGTGGATGTTTCCCTTCTCAGCGAGGTGGGGGGGGGGGGGACCAAAAAACGCAAGGCAGCTGTGACAACATCTACAGAAGAAGCATGATATTGTACTATTTTCCAATTTTATGTTTGTATTTGTAATTAGTATTGTGGTTCGTTAGTTTGGAAATTACACACTTTTGATGTAATACTTTAGTTTGTTAAAGTACTTGTAATTTGTTTAGATTAGGATTATTTTAAGCTTAAGACAGGTCAAAATCATCCAAAGGGTCTAAGAATGGATCCCAAAGACCAAGAAATATGCAAAGGGACAAGACCAATTGAGATTTGAAAGATTGTTCGTGTACCCGGTTAGGTATAGGTAATACACGATCAGATACTTGTTTGTTTCGAACATCAAAATCAAATCTGGAGAAACATTTGAACGTGGCTGAATATTCTGAAGATCGGCTCATACCCGATCGGGTACACTGTCACACCCGGTTGGGTATGCCTACATTTTAGAGGTTCCGGGAAACTGCAGTTGATACCCAATCGGGTATCCTATATACCCGGTCGGATACACAACCTTGCCACCTCCAAGCACCCATTTTCATTCACATTAAATTTACCAATTCACATATACTCTTAGGCTCAGTTTAGTTAAGTGTTTTCTTTATATTTTCTATCATGTTTAGTCTCCAAATGAGAAACTAAAATCTTCCATCTTGGTTTTGCTATGTTGAAGCTTATGATTTGTAAGTTGTGAGCTTTTTTCTTTAATCATCTTCCTTGAATAATAATTACGTTCCTATTTTATATCTCATATTAATATTTGAGCATTACTTAAAGGATCAACTAGTTTTGTTTCATATATTAATTATTACTAGAATCAATCGACGGATACGCTAGTTAATCATTCGATTAAACCAATAAACCGCTTGTGTTGAAGTTGTCAATCTATGTCGATTTCATATTAAGTTTTATTGCTACTATCGAGTCAATATACGGTGCATGTTCTATATTGACTTTATAGTAAGTTTAATTAATGAATGAGTCTCGTTATTAATAACTAGACTATAACCGGGATTGAGTATTCAAGATGAAGATAGTTAAAGATATAACCAGGATCGACAAACATTTCATTAAGTGGATATAAGAAAAAGCAAGTCTTCATCTCTATTGAGTTAAACCACGTATAAGTTTTCATCTTAGTGTTTAAATACTTTTGACTTCAACAATAATCTAAAACCCCCCTTTATTACTAGTTCCATAAAAGAGAAGTATTCGTTTTCCTGTGGATACGAACCTTACTATGCTATACTATGATATTAGTGCAAGTATTGAATATTATTTTGAGGTGCAAAATGACTTTAGTGCCGTCAAAGCACGTCAAGAACAAGATATGGACTTTACTCTTTCAAAAAATGGGGAAGCAGTGGGTTCTTGTTTCGAGGCCCGCCGAAAGCAATGAGTTGTATCAATTCGAAATGTCAAGGGCTTGGCCCAGGCAACAGTTCAGGCATGGGTGGAATTTTTTCACTTGGAAAGCATTACAAGAAAGCTGGGCATGCCTTACTGTTATCTTGTGTATTGTGTGGGCCATAGGGGCGGACTCGCCTTAATCTGGGGCGAGGGGGTGCAAGTCGAGGTGGTAGGATCGACCAATAATTTTATTGATGCAAAGGTTAGTCTGGAGGTTGGAGCGGTGGATTGGCGGTTCACCGATTTCTATGGGCATCCGGAGAGGCACAAGTGGAAGGAGACTTGGGATTTGTTAAAACCCTTGAGCATGGGACATGATACTCCTTGGCTGGTTATGGGGGATTTTAATGATATTATGTTTGCTGCGGAAAAATGAGGGAGCGTTCCCCAACCATCTTGAATATTGAGATGATTCAGGTAAACTGTGTGGGAGTGCGGGTTACAGAACTTTGCGTTTCAAGCCTATTAGTTTACTTGGTAGCAGTGGAGAGGATCTCCAAATTGGGTTCTAGAAATGCTAGATAGAATCCTTGTCACGAAGAGTTGGTTGGATATCTTTGACGAGGCTTCGTCTAAGTCTTTGGAAGGGTCTCCTAGTGATCATCTGGCTCTGCTTATCAAGATGATTCCTACGCAAGGACTTCGCTTGAGAAGAAAATTTAAATTCGAGAATGTATGCCTTTGGGAAGCAGAATGTCGTGAGATTGTTGCTCCCAGTTGGGGGCTCGACAAGGGTATGGCATTATGGGGGCATGTGCATGGAAGCTTGCGGAAAAGCAGTTGGAGATTAGGGTTACCACAAGGTAGGCTCTTATGGAAGACATGTAAGTTTTTGTAAGAAGCGGCTGAATCATCTTATAGGGCAGACTGATTTTTGGAGCATTGGGGAATTCTAGAGACACGGGAATATTTGGATTTACTGGAGAAAGAAAATATTTTTGGGAGGCAGAGGGCTAAAGAGTTTTGGCTCCAGGGTGGCAATCTTAATATCCAGTTCTTTCATAATCCGGTTGAACACCGGTGGCGGAAAAATAAAGTTGAAGGTTTTGGATTAGAAGACAGCCAATGAGAATGCGGCCGGGCAGGGGTACGGGGCATGATGAACTGATGAAGACTATTGTAACACCGTCCCCAAATGTATTTACTTTCAAGTAAATGATGTAATAAATCTTATGGAATGATTAATGAATTTACGAAGTTGTAAATTTTTATTAATTCTTTCGCGTGAATAATAAATTGCACGTGGGACCCACACCGGGAGCGGGGGCCGCCCGACATTCCCGAGACCATATATATTATTCATCTTGGTCTAGATAATAAATATATAGTGGTGGATATTTCATTTGGGCCATGAAAAGGCCCAGAGTTGACCGATTGGTCAAAAGAAGCCCAAATTACCAGTACTGGTAATTTAACAGATAACAACCCGAACTGAATTTCGGAGGCTTATAAATTAAAGTTGGGAATGTATATTCATTATACATGTCATAATGAGTAAGAGCACATAATATATTTTATTTGATCCGATAAAATAAAATATATTTAAAATAATCCGAAAAATACAACTTTCGGGACCGATTGTACACCTCGGGACACAAAGGGATGACCTCCCACATGAGTGGGGTCCATCCCACGTTTTATTCAGCTCAAATGTGACCCTTGGGGGCTGCAAAGACAAGGGAA